AGGAGAAGAAGGAGAGAGAGGGAGAAGAGGAAGGGAAGAGGAGGGAGAAGAAAGAGAGGAGAGGAGAAGGAGATGGGCCCGGGGGGTTTGGGGGTAGGGGGCGGGGGGGGGGGAAAAAAAAAGGGGGGGGGGGGGGGGGGGGGGGGGGGGGGGGGGGGGGGGGGGGGGGGGAAAAAAAAAAGGGGGGGGGGGGGGGGGGGGGGGGGGGGGGGGGGGGGGGGGGGGGGGGGGGGGGGGGGGGGGGGGGGGGGGGGGGGGTTTTTGGTTTTAAAAAGGGGGGGGGGTTTTGGGGGGGGGAAAAAATTCCCCCTGGGGGGGGGGGGGGGGGGGGGGGGGCCCCCCCCCCCCCCGGGGGGGGGGGGGGGGGAAAAAAAAAAAAAGGGGGGGGGGGGGGGGGGGCCCCCCCCTTTTGGGGGGAAAAAAACCAAAAAAAAAAAAGGCCCCCGGGGGTTTTTAAAAGGGGGGGGGGGGGGGGGGGGGGGGGGGGGGGGGGGTTTTGCCCCCCCAAAAAAATGGGTTGGGGGGGAAAAAAATGAAAAAATTTGAAAAAGGAAGGGGAGGGAGAGAAGAAAAAGTGGAGGAGGAGGGAAATAGGGGAGGCAGCGGGACGGGTGCAGAGGGGGGAAAGTGAGGAGAGAAGGGCGAGGGATTTGGGGTGGGAGAGGGGAGGTGGAGAGAGGAGTTTTGAAAGGGGGGCCCCCGCGGGGAAGAGGAGGACGGAGGGAAGAAGGGGTGAAGGGGAGGGAGGGGGGGGTGAGGGGGGGTGGGGGAAGGAAGGAAAAAAGGGTGGGGGGGGAAAAGGGGGGGGGGGAGGGGGGAAAGGGGGGGGGGGGGGGGGGGGGGGGGGAATGGGGGGGGGGGGGGGGGGGGGTGGGTTTGGGGGGAGTTGGGGGAAGGGTGCGGGGAAGGGGGGGGGAGTTGGGGTTTGGGTTCTGAGTGGGGGAGGGAGTTCTTTCTTTTTTTTCTTCTTTCTTTCCTTTCTTTTTTTTTTTTTTTTTTTTTTTTTTTTTTTTTTTTTTTTTTTCTTTTTCTTGTTTTTTTTTTTCTTTTTTTTTTCCTTCCTCTTTTTTTTTTGTTCTTTTCCTTTTGTTGTTCTTTTTTCTTTGGTTTTTTTTTTTTTTGTTTTTCTTTTTTTTTTTTTTTTTTTTTTGCTCGTTTTTTTTTTTTTTTCCTTTCCCCCTTTTTTCCTTTTCTTCTTTTTTTTTTTTTTTTTTTTCTTTTTTTTTTTCTTTTGTTTTTTTTTTTTTTTTTTTTTTTTTTTCCTTTTTTCTTTGCTTTTGTTTTTTTTTTTTTTTTTTTTTTTTTTTTTTTTTTTTTTTTTTTTTTTTTTTTTTTCTTTGCTTTTTTTTTTTTTTTTTGTTTTTTTTTTGAGGAGAAGTAGGAAGGATGGAGGGAAGAGGGAGGGAAGGAGGGGAGGGTGAGAAGAGAGAGGAGGAGGAGGAGGAGGAGGAGAGAAGGGAGGAGAAGGAGCGAGGTAGGAGAGAGGAGGAGAGGGGCAGTGGAGAAGAGGAGGAGAGGAGGGGAGGAAGATGGAGGAGAAGGAGGAGGAAGAGGGAGAGAGGAGAGGAGGGGAGAAGGAAGGAGGAGGAGAGAAGAGGGAGGAGGGAGGAGGGGGAGGAGAAGAGGGGAGGGAGGGGAGGAGGAGAAGGGGAAAAAAGAGGAGGGGAGAAAGAAGGGGGAAGGAGGAGTGAGAAGAAGTGGGGAAAGGAGGGAGGAGAAGGTATTTGGAGAGGAGGTAGAAGATGGGAGGGAAAGGGGAAAGAGGATTAAGGGGAGGGGAAAAAAGAGAGGGAGGGGATTTGGGAAAAAGGGGGGAGGAGGGGAAGGGGAGAAGGAGGGGGGGGAGGAGGGGGGGGGGAGGGGGGAGGAGGGGGGAGGAGGAGGAGGGAGGAGGAGGGAGGAGGAGGAGGAGGGGGAGGGGAAGGGGGGGAGGGAGGAGGGGGAAGGGGGGGAGGAAGGAGGAGGAGGGGAGGGGGGGGAGGAGGAGGAGGGGGGGAGGGGGGAGGAGGAGGAGGAGGGAGGGAGGAGGAGGAAGGAAGGGAGGAGGAGAAGAAGAAGGAGAAGAGAAGAAGGAGAAGGATGAAAGAAGGAGAAGGAGAGAAGGAGAAGAAGGAGAGAAGGAGAAGGAGAAGAAGGAGAAGGAAGAGAGAAAGGAGAAGAAGGAGAAGGGAGGAGAAGGAAGGAGAAGGAGAGAAGGAGAAGGAGAGAAGGGAAGGAGGAAGAAGGAGAAGGAGAGAAGGTGAAGGAGAAGAAGGAGAAAGAGAAGGGAAAGAGAAGGAGAAAGAGAAGGAGAAAGAAAAGGAGAAAGAAGGGAAAGAGAAGGAGAAGAGAGGAGAAAGAGAAGGAGAAAGAGAAGGAGAAAGAGAAGGAGAAAGAAGGAGAAGAAAGGAGAAGAGAAAGGAGAAAAAGAGACGAAAGAAAGAGAGGAGAACGAGAAGGAGAAAGACAGGAAAAGGAACGAGAAAGAAAGGGGAAAGAAGGAAGGGGAATAAGGGAGAAGAAGAAGGAAAAACACGACGACGCCAACATTTCTTCGCCAGCTCTACATGCCTGAGAGGACCCACAAGATGATAACGTTTAAATTCAAGCAGAATAGCAGGAGGGTATCAGGTAATTCCACTATGATACTTGTTTAGTGTACCTGGAGACAGAGAAGACAGACAGAGAGAAAGAGAGAGACAGATTGAAAGAGATAGAATGAGGGAGAAAGAATTAGATAGAATGGAGGGGAAGCAGCATCCGACCACATTGTTTGACAGGCAGGATGGGGGATGAGTAATGAGACAAATGTCATTTTGACAGCTGCCGACCTGACTCAAAAACAATTATAACGCCACACACTTGCAACCCAAGACAAGCTTGCTGAATGTGGATAATAGCAGTTTATGAAAGTATCTAGTGACTATATATGTGTATATATATTATAGAAAACTAGAAGCAAGAAGGGAAGGCAGGAATGAAGGAAGGACTAGATGAAAGGAAGGAAAAAAGTAAGGAAGGACAGATGAAGGAATGTAGGAAGAGAGGTGGAATGCCCTCCAGGTAGGAAAGGAATGAAGGAAATTAGGAAGGAATGATGACACACGACCATTTACCTAGGATAACTACATAACACAACTGCCTGCTAATACTTTGAAGAAAACTGCTCAGACGAGGTATTTTGTCTTTGCACATAAAAAAAAACTTCCACAAAAATGCACACACTGATTTTATGTGAGGAGTGTAAAACACCACTGTGTATGACACCATGTTTTATGTGTGAGTGTAAAACACCACTGTGTATGACACCATGTTTTATGTGTGAGTGTGTAAAACACCACTGTGTATGACACCATGTTTTATGTGTGAGAGTGTAAAAACACCACTGTGTATGACCCCATGTTTATGTGTGAGTGTAAAACACCACTGTGTATGACACCATGTTTTATGTGTGAGAGTGTAAAACACCACTGTGTATGACACCATGTTTTATGTGTGAGTGTAAAACACCACTGTGTATGACACCATGTTTTATGTGTGAGAGTGTAAAACACCACTGTGTATGACACCATGTTTTATGTGTGAGAGTGTAAAAACACACTGTGTATGACACCATGTTTTATGTGTGAGGAGTGTAAAACACCACTGTGTATGACACCATGTTTTATGTGTGAGAGTGTAAAACACCACTGTGTAGGGACACCATGTTTTTTTGTGTGAGGGTGTAAAACACCACTGTGTATGACACCATGTTTTATGTGTGAGGAGTGTAAAACACCACTGTGTATGACACCATGTTTTATGTGTGAGAGTGTAAAACACCACTGTGTATGACACCATGTTTTATGTGTGAGGAGTGTAAAACACCACTGTGTATGACACCATGTTTTATGTGTGAGAGTGTAAAACACCACTGTGTATGACACCATGTTTTATGTGTGAGAGTGTAAAACACCACTGTGTATGACACCATGTTTTATGTGTGAGAGTTGTAAAACCCCCACGTGTATGACACCATGTTTTATGTGTGAGAGTGTAAAACACCACTGTGTATGACACCATGTTTTATGTGTGAGAGTATAAAACACCACTGTGTATGACACCATGTTTTATGTGTGAGAGTGAAAAACACCACTGTGTATGACACCATGTTTTATGTGTGAGAGTGTAAAACACCACTGTGTATGACACCATGTTTTATGTGTGAGAGTATAAAACACCACTGTGTATGACACCATGTTTTATGTGTAAAGAGTGTAAACACCCACTGTGTATGTCACCATGTTTTATGTGTGAGAGTGTAAAACACCACTGTGTATGACACCATGTTTTATGTGTAAGAGTGTAAAACACCACTGTGTATGACACAATGTTTCACAGAGTTCCACAAGCTGCAGAACTTCTAGGAGTATGTTCAGTGACTGTATATTGGTATATATATTATAGAACAATAGTAATAAAAAAATATTTGTATTGTTTGTTTTTGTAAACAAGTTTTGTAAACAATATATTGATAATTATGTTTGTGTGCTTATTGTGTTGTATACAACGAGTGTATATATGTACATTGCACCTTACTTTGGTCTCACAGGCCACATAAGTTATGTGAAAAAATAAAATAGTGAAAAAAACAACAAACCTTCAAATACAAGTAAACTAAAGTTTACCAGATGAGCGGCAGTCGCTGCTGTTGCCATACGCGGCTCATTTTCTGCAAACTTCATGCCTCTATATCTGGGTAAGTACTGATGGGAAAAATTTTTTTTTTGGGACTAAAACAATGAAAAAAATAATCTTAATATTTTCAAAAGAAAAATAATTTTTTTTTTTTCGAATATTTTGCGGCACCAGGAGACACTTCAGGATTGGGCCTTTCGACAGTCAAAGGGTTAAATATAGCTGGGTTTTCGTGGGAGTAGACTTAAGTAGTATCATCTGCAAACAGAATAGGTTTAACGAGTTGAATGCATTGAGATCATTGATGTAGATGAGAAAGAGGAGAGGCCTAGGACACTACTTGCCTTTGAGTAGTGCATGGAGAATATACTTGTCCATTTCCTCATTGGAGTTAATGTTGAATATGGTGATCATGCTGACTTTGTTGCAACACTGGAGCAGCAAGTGTACACACCTCTGAAAACAGACAAGATTTTCTTTGTAATATTAACCTGGAAGAACCACGAATACAGGATATGATGTAAATTTATTTTATTTTATTTATTAATTTGAACATGATACAGAGCAGTACAAATGAATACAGTTAAGTGCAACATGCCAAAGCCCCTTGTATGCAGAGCATTATAGGCAGCTTAAAATTAACTTAAGATTAACTAAGCATTGATATACTCAGTGGTAAAACATTATTGTAAACAGATAACAATTAAGCACAAATGAGTATTACAAAGACAGGTCATATGGTCATTTACTGAGTTGCTGAGCAGTCAGTAGAATGGAGTATTCTGTTAGATAATGTAATTAAAAAATAACAAAGTTTGATTGGGTATCAGGTTAAACATTTATGAGATACAATTATGAGAAACATTTATGAGATACAATTTTTAAGATACAATTATTCAGTATTTATTTGGTTGTGGGTGAATAGGTGATTTTTGAGAAGAGACTTGAATTTATAAACATAAATGATTTAAAACACCAACAAGTTGAAGAATTAGACATTTTTGTAGCATTTTAGTATCATCATTGATTGATGGACTCAATACATTGACTCAAAGCTGAGGGACTGATTGCCTCAAACTACTACTCATCTTCCACTATTTATCTCTGTACTGCACTGAGGAAGCCACTCGTTGGCAAAACGGCTGGTCATGGACTGGGCCACCAGGGTGCTGGCCCCTCCAAAGCACCCTCCAGGTATACAATAAAAATTCCCAAAATGTTGCAAACATGCATAATTCTTTAACACAGGATAACCCAAGAAACACCACTATGTATGGAAACAACAACTCCATACATACACTATACCACTAATGTGACTAATACCTACAGTATATAATCTCAAGACTTAATACAGTAAATATATCACCCAGTAATATCACTATGGTGCATCATGTAGATGATAAGATGAAATGATTGTCTTCCAAAAATTTTGTACTTTCTTCATTTTCAACATAAAGGAACACCTGAATTATTTCTCACACACACCACTAGGCCCATGGCCTGATGGCAAAGCTCTCGCTTCACACACTGAGGGTCTGGTAGGTTCCACCACACGCAACTAACTGCTGGGCTCCCCCCCACACAACTCATTGGTAGGGTCCACCACATGCAACTAACTGCTGGGCTCCCCCCACACACAACTCACTGGTAGGGTCCACCACACGCAACTAACTGCTGGGCTCCCCCCCCCCCCACAACTCACTGGTAGGGTCCACTACACACACAACTACCTGCTGGGAGCCTCCACACACACATACAACTCACTGGTAGGTTCCACCACACAAAACTAACTGCTGGGTTCCCCCCACACACAACTCACTGGTAGGTTCCACCACACACAACTAACTGCTGGGCTCCCCTACACACAAATCACTGACAGGTTCTATCACACACACGTGCACACACACACACATATGTAACAACAAAATGCAAGGAGCCAGAGGAAAGGTTTGTTCCCAAGGGCAACAGAAATAATGGGAAGACCACAACGAGCCCTTGGTTTACCCAAAGGTGTATGGAGGCCAAAAACTAAGTGCACTAGAGAATGGAAAAAGTACAGAAGGCAAAGGGCCCAGGAAAATAAAGAAATGTGGAAGAACCAGAAACAAGAAGGCACAGATAAGGAGGGAGGCCCAGCAACAGTATGAAAACAACACAGCATCGAAAGTCAAGTCTAACCCAAAGCTGTTGAATAGCCACATCAGGAGAAAGACAACAGTCAAGGACCAGATAATCAGGCTGAGAAAAGAAGGTGGGGAGCTCACTAGAAACGACCAAGAAGTATGTGAGGAGCTCAACACATGATTTAAGGAAATATTTAGAGTGGAAATACAAAGGACTCTGGGAAGACAGAACAGAGGGGTACACTAACAAGGGACATACCAACAAGTGTTGGATGAAATACACACAACCAAGGAGATGAAGAAGCTGCTAAATGACCTTGATACCCCAAAGGCTGTGGGACCAGACATCTCTCCGTGGGTCCTCAGAGAGGAAGTAGACACACTGTGTGTGCCACTACCACAATTTTCAACACATCCCTTGAAACTGGGCAACTACCTGAGGTATGGAAGACGGCAAATGTAGTCCCCATTTTAAGAAAGGAGAAAGAAACGAGGCACTAAACTATAGACCAGTGTCACTGACATGTATAGTATGCAAAGTCATAGAGAGGATTATCAGGAGGAGAGTGGTGGAGCACCTGGAATGGAACAAGATTATAAATGACAATCAGCAGGGATTCATGGAAGGCAAATCCTGTGTCACAAACCTACTGGAGTTTTGTGACAAAGTTACAGAAGTAAGACATGAGATGGAGGGGTGGGTTGACTGCATTTTCTTGGACTGCAAGAAGTCCTTCAACACAGTTCCTCACAAGAGATTAGTGCAGAAGCTAGAGGATCAGGTACATATAACAGAAAGGGTACTGCAATGGATCAAAGAATACCTGACAGGGAGGCAACAACGAGTCATGGTATGGGATGAGGTATCACAGTGGGTGCCTGTGATGAGCGGGTCCACAGGGGTCAGTCCTAGGACCAGTACTATTATTGGTACACATATATGAATGACATGATGGAAGGAATAGACTCAGATGTGTCCCTGTTTGCAGATGATGTGAAGTTAATGAGGAGAATTAAATCAGATGAAGATCAAGCAGGACTACAGAGAGACCTGGACAGGCTGGACGTGTGGTCCAGCAACTGGCTCCTTGAATTTAACCCTGCCAAATGCAAAGCCATGAAGATTGGGGAAGGGCAATGAAGACCACAGACTATAGGCTAGGTGGCCAAACACTGCAAACCTCACTCAAGGAGAAAGATCTAGGGGTGAGTATAATACCGAGCACATCTCCAGAAGTGCACATCAACCAGATAACTGCTGCAGCATATGGGCGCCTGGCAAACCTGAGAACAGTGTTCTGATACCTTAGTAAGGAATTGTTCAAGACTCTGTACATCATATATGTCAGGCCTATACTAGAGTATGCAGCACCAGTTTGGAACCCACACCTGGTCAAGCACATCAAGAAATTAGAGGTTTGCAACAAGGCTAGTTCCAGCACTAAGGGGAATGTCCTGCGAAGAAAGGTTAAAGGAGATTGGCCTGACGACACTGGAGGACAGAAGGGTTAGGGAAGACATGATAACGACATACAAAATACTGCAAGGAATAGATAAGGTGGACAGAGACAGGATGTTCCAGAGATGGGACACAGAAACACAGAGCCACAACTGGAAGCTGAAGACTCAGATGAGTCAGAGGGATGTTAGGAAGTATTTCTTCAGTTATAAAGTGATCAGGAAGTGGAATACTCTGGCAAGTGATGTAGTGGAGGCAGGAACCATACATAGTTTTAAGATGAGGTATGATAAAGCTCATGGAGTAGGGAGAGAGAGGACTTGCAGCAATCAGTGAAGAGGCAGGGCCAGGAACTGAGTCTCGACCCTTGCAACCACAAACAGGCGAGCACAAATAGGTGAGTACACACACACACACACACACACACACACACACACACACACACACACACACACACACACACACACACACACACAACACACACATACACACACACACACACAAAAAACACACAAAAAAAAAAAAAAAAAAAAAAAAAAACTCACTGACAAATATCAAGAGACCAAACAGCAATAAAACTGTCTAAAACATTAGAAGTGAGTGAGACACAAGACACTCCCAGAATGCATCATTAGGTAGCATATTTTGAAAAAGAACAAGGAACAATACCGTGACTTGAACAATACACAAATAACTCACACATAGGAAAGAGGAGCTTACAGTGATGTTTTGGTCCAACCTGGACCATGAACAGACCACTGACTAGTTACTGGTCCAAGTGGGAACACAAAGTCATAAGTATTTTTCTCCTATGTGCGGGTTATTTGTGTATCATAGGTTGTCAGTGGAAAGGGAAGGTATTGTGTTTCACATGTTTAATGTTCAAAATTTGCATATATTGTAACTTAATACTCTATGCGTAGTATCAATACTTCCTACATTAGGTGTATTTTTAATGCTAAATTTATGGCATGTAACATCAATATTTTACCATGCTATACAATTTTTAAATGCAATTATTAAATTGTGTGTGAAAACCAATAAGCATCAGGTGGGTTACCGTAACTTCAGGTGCTCCTCGACTTACGATGGTTCGACTTACAACATTTCAACTTTACAATAGTTCAAAAGCAATTACTTTGGAGATGAAACTTAAGATAATTACCCAGCATGAAGGCAGCAAGTCCCTAACTTGTATTCATTTATTTAATTTTCAATACTGGTATTTACCTACAGTAATTATTTGTTTATTTACTTGTTCAATGACAGTACATAGTTAGTTAATTACTTAGCATATCATATTCGACTTATGATGGGTTTGTTGGAACGTAACCCCACTGAAAGTCGAGGAGCACCTGTATTAAAAAATAAACATTCCTACAACAAGCAAGTTACCCATTTACTTAAATGCATTTCAGTGTGCAATGAAAATGTGACTCTGCCACACAGACCTTCTGTTTCTTGGGGTAGCCAGCCAGCTCCGGCATAGTGGAGTTGATACGACGCGAAAGTTGCTCTTTGTGATTCTTCAACCTGTTCTCAGAGTCATAAGTTAATTGTTTACCTTATATAAACAAAGATTTCTACATACTGCACACTGATGGTAGTGTGTGTTGTGTCATGAAGTGTAAGACATGTTTGATGGTGTGTTGTGTCATGAAGTGTAAGACATGTTTGATGGTGTGTTGTGTCATGAAGTGTAAGACATGTTTGAGGTGTTTTTGTGTTAAAAGTTAAGACATGTTATGGTGTTTGTGTCATAAGTGTAAGACAGTTTGTGGTGTGTTGTGTCATGAAGTGTTGTTTGATGTGTGTTGTGTCATGAAGTGAAAACATTTTTGATGGGGTGTTGTTTTTGAAGTGTAAGACATGTTTGATGGTGTGTTGTGTCATGAAGTGTAAGACATGTTTGATGGTGTGTTGTGTCATGAAGTGTAAGACATGTTTGATGGTGTGTTGTGTCATGAAGTGCAAGACATGCTTGGTGGCTGGAGTTTTGGGTCTTTTGGTTTAGTCATAAAATTTTTTCTAGCTCTGTTTTGGTGGGTGCCCAAGTCTGAGGTGTTTTTAAGTCTTTTTTTATGTTCCACTAATTTTCCCCATGAATCTATTAGAATACATATTTGCCTAGCTTTTGTTTAAATTTGGTGGGGATGACATAAAAAAATTGGTTATTTATTAACCCTTCTATATGTTTCTCATATGAACCTTGGGATGTTTAGTAAAAAAATGGGCAACTTGGTCTTTTTGGGTTTGATCTTTTTTATTTTTTTAGGGGGCAAGTTTGTTTATAGTTTTTAAATTTTTACTAAGAAATATCTTCCCCATTCTCGTCCCAGCGGCTTTGGAAAATTCGTACCAGTCAACTGAGCTTAGTTCCCCAGTGAAGTTTCTTTTTGAAGTCTTATCATTGGGGTCGAGAGGAGAACTTATTATATTCCATAGGTTTTCTTAAAAATTTTGTTAGGAGTTGGGCAGTGGCAGTGTGTTGTCCCTAATTATCCCACTTTAACCCACATAGAGGGGCTTTGTGGCATTTTTGGATTGGAAAAAAAGGGATATGACAGGGTGGATAGGGGGGCCCAAAGTGGAGTGTTGCGGTGTATGGTGTAAGGGGTGGTTACTGAAAGCATGAAGGTTTTTTTTGAGGATATGAGGCTCAAGTTAGAGTATGGGAAAGAGGGGAAAATTTTTTCCCATAAAAGTACCCTTTGGGCAAGGGTGTGTGATGCACGTGGTTGTTTAATTATTTATAGATTGGGGTTTAAGAGAAGTAAAGCGGGGTCTTGGCAAGAGGCGTGGAGTTAAAAAACAAAGAATCACCAAAGTGGGAGTTGTCAAGTTGCTCTTTGCTGAGACACTTTCTTTGGGAGATTTGAAGAGAAGTTGCAGAGATGGTGGATGAATTTGGGAGGTTGCAAAAGAAGAAAATTAAAAGTGAAACAGGAAAGAGAAAGGTTATGAGGATAAAAAAAAGATTAGGTGATGAAAGATTGGTATCAGTTGGAGGGGACAGTAGGAGGAGGTGAATGTATCGATATTTGGGGTGGGCGTGTCAGCGGTGGGGCTAGAAAAATGTGGTGAATATAGAATTTATGAGGGGGGGAAAAAGGGTGACGGTGCATTGGGGTCTGTGGAGCAAAGAACTTTTTCCTTTGGGGGCAAAGAGGGGGAAATTTTGAGAGTATAGTTTTCCAACGCTCTTATATGGGTGTGAAGATGGGTGGTGAAAGTTGCGCGAGGAAAGGCTGGAGGGAGTGGGGATGTCATGTCTGAGGGCAATGTGTGGTGTGAATATAAAGCAGAGAATTCGTAGTTTGGAAGTTAGGGGGAGGGGGCGGGATTACCAAAACTGTTGTCCAGAGGGATGAGGAAGGGTTGTTGAGGTGGTTCGGACATGTAGAGAGAATGGAGCGAAACAGAATGACTTCAAGAGTGTATCAGTCTGTAGTGGAAGGAAGGCGGGGTAGGGGTCGGCCTAGGAAAGGTTGGAGGGAGAGGGTAAAGGAGGTTTTGTGTGCGAGGGGCTTGGACTTCCAGCAGGCATGCGTGAGCGTGTTTGATAGGAGTGAATGGAGACAAATGGTTTTAAATACTTGACGTGCTGTTGGAGTGTGAGCAAATTAACATTTATGAAGGGGTTCAGGGAAACCGGCAGGCCGGACTTGAGTCCTGGAGATGGGAAGTACAGTGTCTGCACTCTGAAGGAGGGGTGTTAATGTTGCAGTTTAAAAACTGTAGTGTAAAGCACCCTTCTGGCAAGACAGTGATGGAGTGAATGATGGTGAAAGTTTTTCTTTTTTGGGCCACCCTGCCTTGGTGGGAATCGGCCAGTGTGATAATAATAATAATAATAAAGATATATGCTGACGTGCGGTGGGCTCCGAACGTAGATCAACATTTTATTTTTCATTCCTACAGATTTGGTGCAATAAGCCTGAGTCGCCTAGACATGAAAGAATGGGTCAGTACACTCATTGTGTGCACTATGAAAAAAATCTGGGAGCACTTAGTACCTTGTGGGAGCACCAGTTCAACTAAGAGCCAGCTAGAGCAAATATCATTGCAAACACCAAGGATTCACTGATGTCATATCATATTAACACTCACATTTTAAGAGGAAAGTAAAAATAGGTTAGATAAATGCATGAGTGGGTGTGGGTGGGTGAGTTGGACCTGACTAGCTTGTGCTACTAGGTCAGAGGTTGTGCTCCTTCTATCAGTGGATGTGACCTGACTAGGTGGGTCATTGGTCTAAGCTGAGGGTGACATGGACCTGCTTTGCATGGCCCAGTAGGCCTGCTGCAGTGTTCCTTTATTCTTATGTTCTTGTGTATTCGGCTGGCTAGCTGGCTGGCTTTGGCTGTCTGTCTGTATCTCTATCTATATCTGTCTATCTGCCTATATCTCTATCTATATCTCACTATCTGTCTATATCACTGTTTATTTGTATCTCTTTCTCTCACATGTACTCATAAATACAGTTATTATACAAAGTGTAAATTACCTAGGATAACCAAAAAATTCCAGGCCAAGACCTATACAGTGTTTGTAGATTCATGTATAAGACGTAAACAAACATGATGCAAATAATAGCAATGTCACTTGCTCAGCAATCAGGGAGCGGCACATACACCACAAACCAACAGGTTTACTAGCCGCTCCCTGAGAGAGAGACAAGCAGATAAAAAGACAGACACACAGGCAGACAGAAAGACAGATAAGCAGAACTAGATGGACAGATAAGCAGAGCTAGGCAGACAGACAGACATACAGATATATGTACAGATACAGACAGGTCAATGTACAGATAGACTGACAGATAGACAGACTGATGGACAGACATAGAGACATGTTTGTGTGAAAGAGTTCCTCCCTCCAGCAGCACACATTCAATAAATGTCACTGTTATCTGACGCTGTCATAACACCATAATTCAAGGAGTTCATATTACACTCCAGGCACACACAGAAGACAGAAAGACAGATAAGCAGAACTGGACAGACAGATAAGCAGAACTAGGCAGACAAAGATAGATGTACAGATAGACAGGCAGACAGACAGACTGACATACACACATACAGACACATGTTTGTGTGAAAGAGTAAAAACATATAAAGGCAAGGTTCCCTCCAGCAGGGCACATTCATCAAATGTCACTTATCTGACCCTTGTCATAACACCATTCAAGGAGTATCATACTCCAGCATATCTAAATTATTATTATTATAATAAAAAAGAAGTGCTAAGCCACAAGGGCTATACAGCCCAGCATATCTAAAACATTGCTGGAACCTATAAATACTTTGTATACATTTCTAGACAATAGTAAATGACCAGGGCAGGTAAAAATGTTCACCTGTCAGTGTGATTATTACAATTTGAATACTTTTTCAGTATATAATATTAGTGTCAGAACAAAGATTGGCTATGAAATCACAAGAACTATTATAAATTGTAATTATCAGGACATAAAAATTATATAACTTAAAATAAAAATGAGAAAAAAAGGTAAATCAGCAACACTTCTGCAAGTGGAAGGACTGGATGTTGCTGTCAGGTGAGCATCCAAAGCCAACTTCACGGTCTTATATCTCGGTAAATAGTGGTCCTAAAATTTTGTTTTTGGTCTTATACCACACAGAAAATGCCCCTTTTTAATTTAAGAACAAAAAACGATTTTATTTCTCAAAATATTAGGAGCGCCACGCAGGTGAACATAGATCTATGTTTGTACAGTTTAAGGGTTAAGGGGGGCTAGTATGTTTGTCCATATATGATCAATTATGGTTGCACTCGTCTCAGTTAGTCTTGTTGGTTTTGTAACTGCTGGTATGAGTAGTGTATTGTTCATATTGATATTAAAGTCAGCAGCAGGTTGGTCATCTGTTATGACAAGGCTGATGTTGAAGTCTCCTGTTAGTAGCAGTTGGTGCTTATTCATTTGTGTATCTGTAATCAGTGTTTTTAGTCTATCACTAAAGACTGGGATATTAGTATTAGGCATCCTGTATATGGCCCCAATTGCTATAGGGTTTTTTAATTTTTTAGAGAAGTTTGCGAATATATATATTCACCATACTCATCATTGAAGGATATGGTGTTGCTACATGATAGTTCATTAGAAAAATAGATGGCAATACTTCCCCAATTTGTTCTGGCCTGCAGTTGATGGATTGCTGTGTATCCTGGTAGTGTGTAGATGTCTATTGTGTCTTGCTTAAGCCAGGTTTCAGTAAGAATAATACAGAAGTAGTTTGTCTTTAATGAATGTAAGAGTGCCAGGAGGTCATCATAATATTTACTTAGGGATCTAATACGTACTGTAAATCAAAATTGTAATATTTCTGGCATTGCTGAGGACTGGTACTGGCTTCTGTTGCTGTGTAGTAAAGGTTGTTGCTTTCAGTTAAATGTTGACTAGGATTTAGATTATATAGGTTAGGTCAGGGTTGATGTCAGCATTGAGCATTTGGGGTTAACTGATAAAAATTTAAATGATGAATTGCAGAAGGTGATAAGGGGTAATATTAATATCTGTAAAAAGAGGGTGATTGAACAATAATGGTGTAAGTGTATATTATTCAAGTAGATTGTAAAACCTAATAAACATATATTGAAATATAATGAACTATTAAGACTAGGTGTGTCAGGTCATGGTAATAAGAGTATTGAACAAGCCTGTGTGTCAGGTCATGGCAGTAAGAGTGTTGAACATGACTGTAACTGTGTCAGGTCATGGAAGCAGCATGAATACTGAACATGCCTGTGAGTATGTCGGGTCATAGATACAGCATATGCCAGGAGGTCAGCTGCTCTTCCTGTACCGGCCACCACCACAATGGGAATATTTCGCTTGAGGGCCATATCACATTTGACAATGGAGTCAAGTCCTCCATCCAGCAGCAGCAGCACCACTGGCAGTCCCAGGCCCTTTGGCTCCGGCTCTCTGATAGCTTCTTCCAGCCGAGTCCTGCAATATATTATTACCATACTCATCCCTGCAGGACTCCATGATTACATTATACATGTGTTATATATTTTACAAAGGGAATCGAGGGAAACTGGTTAGCTGGACTTGAGTCCTGAAGGTGAGAAGTACAGTGCCTGCACTCTGAAGAACGGGTTGTGGATATTTGTTGTCAAATGTTGTCTTCCCAGTGGTATGCTGACATCACAGTTCAGATGATGCTCTAAACTGTAACATCCTCAACTATTCTTCAGAGTACAGGCACTGTACTTCCCACCTCCATGACTTAAGTCCTGCTAATCAGTGCCCCTAAATCCCTTCATAAGTGTTATCTTACTCATGTTCCATCAGAACCTCCTTAACCCTTTGACTGTCGCAGGCCCCCTTTCTGAAACTGTCATTCTATGTTGATAAATTTTTGAAAAAAAAAAAAAAAAAAAAATGAAATTACAGAGAATCTTTTCCCGATGGTAATGACACCAAAAGTATGAAATTTGGTCGAAAACTCATGGAATTACACTCCCGTGAAGTTAGCGGTCTCGGTGACATACACGTATCGTCGATTTCGCAGACTTTGAGCATGTTTACAGCCAATTTCTTTGTTCCAGTCAACCAAACTCATAGCTATTTCTTTAGAACTCCATTTTATCTATCAGTTGAGTACAAGAAACCACCCATATACCGATTTGAACTACCCAATAAAGTGGTCAGAAATTGGCAATTTGGCCAATTTCACACAAATTAAAAAAGATGCCAATTTCAAAATAGGGTCCTGAATAAACAATGTAGACATTCTTGGCACTAAAATAACATTTCCTCTGTTCATTAGTCACATCTCTAGGCTCTTCTTACATTACTATTGCTTTCTATTTTGATTTTTTATTCATTAAAAAAAAAATAAAAAATTTACTGGTATGCAGACTACTGCATTTTTGTAAAAATGGTATAAAAAATATAAGTGCACTAGTGAAAAAATATTAGACCCCCCAGTTGACGTGTATTGGATTGTGGTGTGATTGCTTACTCCTGAACATTGGTAAAAATTCGAAAAATTTCTGTATTTTGAGGTCAATTTCAAGGTCGTTTTCATCGTGAAAGTAATGAAATCATCTCTATTTCTGTAATATGTTTTCCATTTTATCACTTGAGACCATGAAAAACGAGAATACAACGATAATTACTATACGAAAATTACACCCTCAAAATCGGCGTTTTTTTTTTTTTAATTCAAAAAAACGTCATATTTTTTTTTTTTCTCATTACCAGGGCCAGGCTGCAGTTTTTTTTTTATGGTGCACACTGACCACACAGACCATTCTCTCACATGTGGGCCTCCCAGCTTTCTCCACTTGATTTTGAAACCCGCTAGAAATTTATGCGATTAATACGTCCAGACAGTGGCGCTAAAATTAAATAATATATGGGGGGTTTAAACAGTCAAAGGGTTAAAATTCCTTCACCAGTTGAATTTATTAAAAAATAGTTACAGTGCTCCAATAATGTCTTATAATATTTTTATAAATTCATAACCCCAAGCAGTTCCACCCCCCCCCCCCCCCCAAAAAAAAAAAAATGCGTATTCCCTCCCTTCAAAGATCATTCTTGTTCCTCTGCAATCTGTCTTACCCATCATGTTTTCTGCTATGAGCTGTAGCTGGTACAATCAAAAAGACTTATTATCCTGAAATTCTGTTTCCCCTTCTACAGTCTGCTTTACCCACCTATAAGTTTACCTATCATATCCTATTAAACAATTATATCAACTCAACAGTCTGCTTTACATACATAATAATCTATTTCACATGGATAATAAAGTGCAATGAACACTTGTCAATGTTTAATAATAAAACATGGAGTTAGAAACTAGGGAAATTAATTATTATTATAATCAAAAAGAAGCACTAAGCCACAAGGGCTAAACAGCAGGGAAATTAATTGATCTGTATATTTCGAACCAAACACAAAGTGGGAGTTGTCACAGTTGCTTTTTACTGATGACACTGTGCTCTTGGGAGATTCTGAAGAGAAGTTGCAGAGGTTGGTGGATGAATTTGGTAGGGTATGTAAAAGAAGAAAATTAAAAGTGAATATAGGAAAGAGTAAGGTTATGAGGATAACAAAAAGATTAGGCAATGAAAGATTGGATATCAGATTGGAGGGAGAGAGTATGGAGGAGGTGAATAAGAACATAAGAAAGAAGGAAGGAACACTGCAACAGGCCTACTAACCCATGCGGAGCAGGTCCATGTCCCCCCCCCCCCCGGATTAGCCCAATGACCCACCCAGTCTGGTCACCTAAACTCAAGGATGGAGCACTGCACCAGACCCAGCAGCACAAGCTAGTCAGGTCCAACTCACACCCACCCACACCCACACCCATCATGTATTTATCTAAACTTTTTAAAACTACACAAAGTTTTAGCCTGAATAACTGTACTCGGGAGTTTGTTCCACTCATCCACAACTCTATTACCAAACCAGTGCTTTTCCTATATCCTTCCTGAATCTGAATTTTTCCAACTTGAAACCATTGCTGCGAGTCCTGTCTTGGCTGGAAATTTTCAGCACGCTATTTACATCCCCTTTATTTATTCCTGTTTTTCATTTATACACCTCGATCATATCCACCCTAATTCTATGCCTTTCAAGAGAGTGCAGATTCAGGGCCCTCAGTCTATCCTCATAGGGAAGATTTCTGATACATGGGATCATCTTTGTCATCCTCCTCTGTACGTTTTCCAGAGCATTTATATCCATTCTGTAATACGGTGACCAGAACTAAGCAGCATAGTCTAAATGCCTTATGAATTTCGTCCCATAACACCTTACTGCCCTCCCTATCAAGGTTTGGGGGCCTATAAATCACACCCAAAATTAATTTGTCATGTCCCTCGAGAAACTGTAGCCAAACAGATTCTGTGTTCGATGTTTCTAATCTTATATCATGTCTAAGACAACAATTTAAATTTTCTCTGACATACATCGCCACACCACCACCCTTCCTGTTCACCCTATCAGCGTGGAATAGTTTATAACCCTGTATGTTGCATTCAGAAGGCATTTCTCTATCTTTCAGGTTGAACCAGGTCTCTGTTATACCAATAATATCTATAGTACTTACACTTGCAAGTAATCTTAGCTCATCTATCTTATTTCTTAGGCTCCTACTATTTGTATAGTAAACCTTAAGGGAGCTAGTCACTCGTTGTCCTCTACTATCTCTCTTTGTTTGTTGATCAATTGATTTGCCATTGCTAGCAACTTTATTTTAATATTGTCTTTTAAACATATCCCTGAGGTATCCCGGTAATAACTGCTGTTTTTAACCCTAATGCTGCAGCCTGATTGTTTCCCACAAACACCCATACCACTATAATCTATCATTTTAAATTCCTAGACAAGTCATCAATTACCCTCTCAATTGAATTGGCTAATGCAACCACTCCATCCCCAGAAAGATGAACCCCATCCCTTGCATAAATATCACGTTTGCCAAAGAATAGGTCCGAGTTATCAATGAATGGGATTGCAAGTTCCTTGCAGTACCTGTCTAGCCAGCAATTTATACCAATTGCCCTAGACATCCATTCATTGCCCACTCCCTTTCTAGGCAAAATCCTACATATGACTTGGATCCCTCCCTTAGACCTAACTACTTCTATGGCTGACCTTTACTTATCCAGCAGCTCCTCTCTCCTGCCCTTCCCAATGTTATTACCCCCAGCACTAAGACAGATAATGGGCTTGTTCCCATTACCTGCCATAATATTATCCAACCTGCTGACTATGTCACCAACACCAGCTCCAGGAAGACACACTCTCTGTCTGACCTTTCTGTCTCAGTTACAAAATGCAATGTCCATATATCTTACCTGAGAATCACCTACTATTAAAATATTCTTACCTTGATTAGCAGGGGAATCAGTGGTACCTTCATCCTCACTAACCACTGAAGTACACTCGTCTTGGAGAACAGAATGAATGTATTCAGATATTTGGGAGTGGACGTGTCAGCAGATGGGTCTATGAAAGAAGAGGTGAATCATAGAATTGATGAGGGGAAAAGAGTGAGCAGTGCACTTAGGAGTCTGTGGAGACAAAGAACTTTGTCCTTGGAAGCAAGGACAGGAATGTATGAGAGTATAGTTTTACCAACACTCTTATATGGGTGTGAAGCATGGGTGATGAATATTGCAGCGAGGAGAAGGCTGGAAGCAGTGGAGATGTCATGTCTGAGGGCAATGTGTGGTGTGAATATAATGCAGAGAATTCGTAGTTTGGAAGTTAGGAGGAGGTGCAGGATTGCCAAAACTGTCGTCCAGAGGGCTGAGGAAGGGTTGTTAAGGTGGTTCGGACATGTAGAGAGAATGGAATGAAACAGAATGACTTCAAAAGTGTATCACTCTGTAGTGGAGAGAAGGCGGGGTAGGGGTCGGCCTAGGAAAGGTTGGACGGAGGTGGTAAGGGAGGTTTTGTGTGCAAGGGGCTTGGACTTCCAGCAAGTATGCGTGAGTGTATTTGATAGGAGTGAATGGATATAAATGGTTTTTAATACTTGATGTGCTGTTGGAGTGTGAGCAAAGTAACATTTATGAAGGGATTCAGGAAAACCGGCAGGCCAGACTTGAGTCCTGGAGATGGGAAGTACAGTGTCTGCACTCTGAAGAGGGGGTGTTAATGTTGCAGTTTAAAAACTGTAGTGTAAAGCACCTTTCTGGCAAGACAGTGATGGAGTGAATGATGATGAAAGTTTTTCATTTTCGTTCCACCTTGCCTTGGCGGGAATCGGCCATAGTGTTAATGAAAAAAAATTTCGACCCCCTTCTGGGATCCTCTTTGACTTGTGTATCTGCTGAAGATGATCCCAAAAATGGGTCAAAATATACATATCAATTAATCTCCTGAGTTTGTCTCCATGTGGATTATTATTGATCATCTATTTCACATGTTTACTTATCCCCATAACTCTCTCAGTACTCCAGTACTCCACTGTCCCACTCATAGTCTGTCTCCCTTCATTTCTGTTTTTATCTGGCTTTCTGGACTTGCTTAGCTGGCAGGCTGACCTGAAGTCGTCGACTCCTCTGAAGGTGTTCCTGTTGCCATCATCAACAAAAAGGAAGTGGGTGTGGTTGCCATCAAGCGAGACTGGTTTATGGCGATCGACCTTGTCCTTCATTTTGTACCTGGGATGCAATAAAAAGGAGGGATAACAGGAGGGAAGAGAGAAGAGCAGAATGGAGGAAGTAAAAGAAAAAATGAGAATACAGAGAGGATAGTAATCAGAATAGGATAAGAGGGGGTAATAAGTAGTAGGGGATGGGAAAATGTGAGCAGAGGAAAGTGATGTAGACCAAAGATGAAGAAAAAAAGAGGAAATAGAGAAATAAAATAATTAGACCATATATATTTCAATAATTATCTTGTGAATTATTCTTACAAAGCCTTCAACTCATTATAGTTATTGATATTCTAAGTTTAATCTATATTTTTTTTTTTTCAACAAGTCGGCCGTCTCCCACCGAGGCAGGGTGACCCAAAAAGAAAATACTTTCATCATCATTCAACACTTTCACCTCACTCACACATAATCACTATTTTTGCAGAGATGCCCAGAATACAACAGTTCAGAAGTATATACATATAAAAATACACAATATATCCCTCCAAACTGCCAATATCTCAAACCCCTCCTTTAGAGTGCAGGCATTGTACTTCCCATTTCCAAGACTCAAGTCCTGTTATATAAAATAACCAGTTTCCCTGAATCCCTTCACTAAATATTACCCTGCTCACACTCCAACAGCTCGTCAGGTCCTAAATACCATTTGTCTTCATTCACTCCTATCTAACATGCTCACGCACGCTTACTGGAAGTCCAAGCCCCTCACCCACAACACCTCCTTTACCCCCCTCCCTCCAACCTTTTTGAGGACAACCCCTACCCCACCTTCCTTCCCCTACAGATTCATACGCTCTCCATGTCATTCTACTTTGATCCATTCTCTCTAAATGACCAAACCACCTCAACAAACCCTCTTCAGCCCTCTGACTAATACTTTTATTAACTCCACACCTTCTCCTAATTTCCACACTCCAAATTTTCTGCATAATATTTACACCACACATTGCCCTTAGACAGGACATTTCCACTGCCTCCAACCGCCTCCTCGTTGCAGCATTTACAACCCAAGCTTCACACCCATATAAGAGTGTTGGTACTACTATACTTTCATACATTCCCTTCTTTGCCTCCATAGATAACATTTTTTGCCTCCACATATACCTCAATGCACCACTCACCTTTTTTCCTTCATCAATTCTATGATTAACCTCATCCTTCATAAATCCATCCACTGACACGTCAATTCCCAAATATCTGAAAACATTCACCTCTTCCATACTCCTCCTCCCCAATTTGATATCCAATTTTTCTTTTATCTAAATCATTTGATACTCTCATCACCTTACTCTTTCCTATGTTCACTTTCAACTTTCTACCTTTACACACACTCCCAAATTCGTCCACTAACTTTTGCAATTTTCCTTTAGAATCTCCCGTAAGCACAGTATCATCAGCAAAAAGTAACTGTGTCACTTCCCATTTTGTATTTAATTCCCCATAATTTAATCCCACCCCTCTCCCGAACACCCTAGCATTTACTTCTTTTACAACCCCATCTATAAATATATTAAACAACCATGGTGACATTACACATCCCTGTCTAAGACCTACTTTTACCGGGAAGTATTCTCCCTCTCTTCCACACACCCTAACCTGAGCCTCACTATCCTCATAAAAACTCTTTACTGGTGGGGTAAATATTTTCATTAGTGGGTTTGGGTTTGAGAAAGACCTGCCTAGTATGGGCCAGTAATCCTGCTGCAGTGTTCCTTCTTTCTGACGTTTCTTTAAATTTTAAAAATTAACAGCAGTAAAGTTACCCACTTGTAGCTGAAGAAACAGAATATAAATCCTGAGTTATTTGTCAATGGCTTTATTGTAGTATTTAGCTTTGGCAATGTGCATAAAAATATTGAGTGAAGATCCCAGGGGTTTTGGACCTTTCAAACAAAGCCTCACTTGCTGCTTTTCGAAGGTAAATAGGCCAGGTTAAGCTACCCTTCTTTCAGTTCCATTCCTGTGTTACACTGTGCTACTCTTTCTTTTAATTAGATTCCTGTGTTAGATTGTGCTACTCACTCTCTCTTTCTCTCTCTCCTAAATCATTTCCTGTGTTATACTGTTCTACTGTCTCTGAATAAACTTCACACTACATTTTACTAATTTTTTTAACACACTGGCCATTTCTCACCAAGGCAGAAGCTGCCTCCCCAAAAAAAAGAAATTTTCCCCATCACTGACCTGCCAGAGGTGCACAAATCTTCCCCGTACATCGGGCAGGTTTGTTGCCCAAAGCTGGGCAAGAAATCTATGGGACACATTAGTGGCCCTGATGTGTCTCGTAGATCGATTGCTAGCGCACTCAGCTCACACAATGTCCGGGGGTCGATCTCCGGTACGGCATGAAACATTAGGATGTTCCATAAGACACCTGCTGTTCCTGTTCACCCATCAGTAAAATGGGTACCTGGGTGTTAGTCGACTGGTGTGGGTCGCATCCTGGGCCAAAACTGGCCTAATTTGCCTGAAATACTCTGCATACTAAGGGGCTTTCTATATAGTAGTACACTATGTCACTGATGTCAGCTAGGCCTGTACATGTTCTTGTAGAAATAAAGATATTTTTATTATTCTTATTATTATTATTATTATTATTATTAAAGCCTCTCATCACTTACTGATCGAAGATCAGTCGCTGATCGAAGAATCGCCCCTTACTGATACTTCAAAAATGTCACCACCCGAAATTAAAATTTCTTTTTTTTTTTTTTCTTTCAACAAACCAGCTATATCCCACTGAGGCAAGATGGGCCAAAAAAGAAAGACGAAAGTTCCTCTTTTAAAATTTAATAATTTATACAGGAGAAGAGGTTACTAGCCCCTTGCCCCTCAAAATTAAAACATTCAGTTTTATGTTTGCTGTGAAATTCCTTTCAATTCATTTATTATCAAGGGTAATACATGTACAACATGAAATAGGTCAATAACTTATTTCTGAGATATTCTAAGAAATGTGCGCATAGCTGATTACTTGAGAAAAAAATAAATCGAGAAAATCACACTTTGTATAGGATAAGAGTGATCTTATACTTGCCCAATTATACCAATACTTTATTGCCCAATCTATTTTTAACTTTTTATTATTGCCCTTTTTATCTGTGAAGTTAATATATTACCCAATTTTATTATATACTTTTTTATTATAACATAAGAACATAAGAACGAAGGAACACTGCAGAAGGCCTACTGGCCCATGCGAGGCAGGTCCAAGTCTCCTACCGGCTTAAGCCAATGCACCCAACCTAGTCAGGTCAGGTCACATTGACTTAAGGAAGGAACACGGCAACCGACCTGGTAGCACAAGCTATCAGGTCTAACTCACACCCACCCACATCTACTCATGTATTTATCCAACCTATTTTTAAAGCTACACAACGTTCTGGCCTCTATAACGGTACTTGGGAGTTTGTTCCACTCATCCACAACTCTATTACCAAACCAGTACTTTCCTATATCCTTCCTGAATCTGAATTTTTCCAACTTAAAACCATTGCTGCGAGTCCTGTCTAGGCTAGATATTTTCAGCACACTATTTACATCCCCTTTATTTATTCCTGTCTTCCATTTATACACCTCAATCATATCCCCCTAATTCTACGTCTTTCTAGAGAGTGCAGATTCAGGGCCCTTAGTCTATCCTCATAGGGAAGGTTTCTGATACATGGGATCAACTTTGTCATCCTCCTTTGTACATTTTCCAGAGAATTTATATCCATTCTGTAATAAGGTGACCAAAACTGTGCAGCATAATCTAAATGAGGCCTAACCAAGGATGTATAGAGTTGAAGAACAACCTGAGGACTCCTATTATTTATGCTTCTTGATATGAAGCCAAGGATTCTATTAGCTTTATTGCGAACACTTATGCACTGTTGTCTTGGTTTCAGATTACTGCTAACCAGAACTCCTAAATCTTTTTCGCAATCCGTAATATTAAGATCTACATTATTTAGTTTATATGTGGCATGGTTATTGTCCTGTCCAACATTTAGAACTTTGCATTTGTCTATATTAAACTGCATCTGCCACTTCTCCGACCACTGCATCAGTCTATTCAAATCTTCCTGGAGTGCTCGAATGTCCTCGTCAGAATGAATTCGACGGCCTATTTTGGTGTCATCGGCAAACTTGCCGATGTCGCTCTTTATGCCCTCATCTATGTCGTTTATGTAGATTGTGAACAGCAGGGGGCCCAACACTGACCCCTGTGGAACACCGCTCGTGACACTTCCCCACTCTGATTTCTCCCCATTTATGCAGACTCTCTGCTGCCTATTTGTCAACCATGCCTCTATCCAGGAAAAAATTTCTCCTCCTATTCCATGTGCTTTAATTTTCCTCAATAGTCTCTGATGTGGGACCCTGTCAAAAGCCTTACTGAAGTCCATATACACAATATCATATTCATTACCATGATCTACCTCCTCAAATACCTTAGTGAAAAAAGTTAATAAATTCGTAAGGCAGGAACGCCCCTTTGTAAAACCATGCTGAGATTCGTTGATTAATTTATGCTTTTCAAGGTGGCTACGAACTGCCTCGGCAATTATTGATTCCATAAATTTTCCCACTATGGAGGTTAGGCTTAGTGGTCTATAGTTCGAAGCTAAGGACCTGTCACCTGTTTTGAAAATAGGTATCACATTTGCCTTTTTTCCACTTATCTGGCACCATGCCAGTTTGTAGTGATATGTTGAAAAAAATTAGCCAAAGGTGTGCTAAGCTCCTCGTTACATTCCTTTAGAACCCTTGCATACATTTCCCTCAGGGCCTGGGGATTTGTTAGGTTTAATTTATCTATTTGCCTAAGGACCATGTCACTTGTGACCCTAATAGTGCCAGTTTATTATCGTCCTGTTCTACATAATTTATCATTACTGGAATACGCTGGTATCCTCCTGTGTAAAAACTGAGAGGAAGTATGTGTTAAAAATTCTACACATTTCCTTATCACTGTCAGTGAGCTGACCCGAGGAACTTTGAGTGGGCCTATCTTGTCCC